AGTAAGATGAGAAGAAATTAAAAGTCCTTCCAAAATAAGGTTATTTGCTGAGATACGCAACAGCATCACTGTTATTAATTTTTATTTTCACTTTGTTTTTTATTTGCAGCCCACATAAGAAAACTGGAAAAGTCATGTACGTACTTTTTAATGATTGAGTTGCATTTTTAAGTGTGGTGTCTGATTTTTGTTAAGTTACTGGGCGCTATTTTAAAAAAAAAAAAGTTACAGTTCCTTAGTTCCTTTTGTTTGGCTGTACAAAAGTATTTAAGAGACCTTTCAACGCAAAGAAATGTTATGTGTAATAATAGGCCTGTAGTAAACTAGTTGGGGTTTTTTTTATGTAGCACAGTGGTCCTTATGAAAAAAACCCTTGTTAATCCCAGTTGGCTTTCTTGCCTGAACATTTCTGTATGCTGCTTCTGTGTATTTCTGTAATGTTAGTTACTAATGAATGTTGTGTTGCCCTGAATCTTCCTTTGTGATGGAGAAGCTGATATGATTCTCAATATTTTATTTATCAGCCACATTCATGTTTAAAACAATACCTTGAGTTTTACAGAAAATGGGGAGTAGTCCTCCTGTCAGAAGTTGCCTTCAGTTACTGGGATTTAAGAATATATGTTTTTAAGAAAGCACTGACTTCTGTTTCCTATTTTCCTAGGGTGCGATCACCTACAAAATCAGCTGGCTACTCATTAAAGTGGACATCAGAAGAAAAAGAACTGTTTGAACAAGGACTGGTAAGTTTGTTTATATATGTAGTATTTTGAATAGAAGTCATTAGTTTATCTTAAATAACAAAATAATAATTAATATAAATAAGCGTGTTATATTTATCTGCTTTTGTACTTCTAATGTGTTAAAAATAATTGCCATTTACTAAGAGTTTAATGATGAATCACATTTATATTGATGAATCCCCCAAAATGGCTTTATTTACCACATTTTGTTCATGTGAGGCTGATTACAATTTGAGATCACAAAATATCTCAAATACACAGCTTTATGAATTGTATAATCATAATGCTGTAGTTAAGCACACACTATACTTCCTGTAGTTAAGGCAAATCAGTTAATAAAGTGAAATCCTTTAACTACTATTGTAAGGTCTTTAGACATAGTTGTACAGTGCTGAATGTAATAGGGTTTGCTTTGCCAAGCACAAATTCATTTCAGTAGGATTCCTTGGGTTAGTAGGCAGTATAATTTACCGTGTGCCTGAATTGGGTGAAGAAGATCCTCTAGTTAAGAAGAATAGCAATAACTTACTGTTGGATGCAATTTTCTTCTTGGTAGAGTATGACTAGCGAGATTCTTTACCATAGGTTTGCTGTACTGTTTGCGCATTTGTAATGAATAATTGAGTTTTTAAGCTCTTTTGGTACATAAAGTGCAATGTTTGGAATGTTAGAGTTTGGGTAACTTAAATGTGCTTTGTTGTACTAGGTGAAATTTGGCCGCCGGTGGACAAAAATTGCCAAGTTGATTGGAAGTCGTACTGTTCTACAAGTAAAGAGCTATGCTCGGCAGTATTTTAAGAACAAGGTAAACAGAGTATCTCTGTAGTTAGCAAAAAGGCTGTTTGACAAGTATGCTGTTGTACATGTAGTTTGATTTTTAGTCTGTCTTTTCAGGGTACTGCTGTTAAAGTACGTACTCTATTTATTCCCATATTCAGAAAAGTGGAATATGCTTATTTGCAGATTTAAATATGAAGTCAGACCTGATTTCAAATTCCTAGAATGACTTTAATATTTTTATTGCTGGTATAACTAAACAATAAATGTAGTATAATTATAGTCTCTTATACTGTTCGTTGTTAGTCTGAAGAGACTTGTTTTCCACTTGTGCTGGTTTTGGCTGGGATAGAGTTAATTTTCTTCACAGTAGCTAGTATAGGGCTGTATTTTGGATTTGTGCTGGAAACAGTGTTGATAACACAGGGATGTTTTCGTTATTGCTGAGCAGTGCCTTCACAGAGTCAAGGCCTCTTCTGCTCCTCGCACCACCCCACCAGCGAGTAGGCTGGGGGTGCACAAGAAGTTGGGAGGGGACACAGGCAGGACAGCTGACCCCAACTGACCAAAGGGATATTCCATACCATATGACGTCATGCTCAGTATATAAAGCTGGGGGAAGAAGAAGGAAGGGGGGGACATTCGGAGTGATGGCGTTTGTCTTCCCAAGCAACTGTTAGGCGTGATGGAGCCCTGCTTTCCTGGAGATAGCTGCATTTGAGATAGCCTCATTTCTACTTCGGGGGCATTTAAGAAGAAATTACTACTGTCTGGTTTTTTGGGTTTTTTTAATGGAAATACATACTAATTTACACTTGGGCTAGAAGTATACTTATAATGCTGCGTAAAAGTCAATTGCAATGGATTAAAATGTATCAAAAGGGTAAGATGAGGAAGAAACACTTCAGAATGTTTGCTGTTCAAGTAAAATACTTCTGACTGACTGGGAGGCAGAGGGAATTGTTCTGCTTTTCCCTCCTAAAAGTATTTTATATTTTCCTAAGGCAAAAAATGGTGATTCTGAAAAAGAAGAGCAAAGTCAGTGTGACAGCAATCTTCCCACTGAAGATGGAATAAGGGTAGAAGCGTGGTCATCTGGAAACTTGAGAGGCCGTGCAGACCCCAATCTGAATGCAGTGAAAATTGAAAAGCTGTCAGATGATGAAGAAGTAGACATAACTGATGACATGGATGAACTACTTTCTCCTGCCTTCCAGCAAGAAACTGGAAAATCTGAATTATCTGTTATTTCAAAAAGTCCAGTTGAAGAAATGAAAGGAATGGAACATGTTTTTTCATCTGTTGGACACAGTTCTGCAATTTATTTACCTAAAGAAGATCCTCAACATACCAAGCAAGATACAGTGGATGCATTAGTATTTCCAGGTGTTGCAGCAACGTGTTCTCAGCACCTGAACGGTGATAAATCTGTGAACTTAAATTACCAGCCATACAATAATTTTATTGAGAAAGCTGAACAAGGCAGAATGGTAACATCTTGTGGTACTAGACAAGTAACTGATCAGGAGCTTAATGAGGAACAGAGAGACCTGGCTGATAATGGATTGCTTTTTCCTTCTCCCTGCCAAGTGGATGAAGGTCATCAAGAAGAAGCAGAGGAGCTTAAGCCACCTGATCAAGAAGTGGAGGTTGACAGAAGCATCATTCTGGAAGAAGAAAAGCAAGCTATTCCTGAATTTTTTGAAGGGCGCCAGGCCAAAACACCAGAGCGTTATTTGAAAATTAGGAATTATATTTTGGATCAATGGTAAGATGCATTAATTTCATTTACTGAAATAAGTGGTTGACTCATGTCCTGCTTTGTTGTAGTTAAAATACTACATAGTACTAATAGCTTACTTCTGAAAAGAGTAAAATTACTTTTATGGTAGCATTATAAAGATTGCCAGTGAACAGCACTGATTATTAATGCTTCTTTTGCATCTTCCCAGTTTTTTTTCTGGCATTCTGGAAGCTAAGCAATGAAAATACTTTGAAGCATTATGAAAATGAGTGTCCTATATCAGAACAAGCTGCATCCATTTTGGTTATGTTATTTTCTTCCAATTTTTGTCATCCTATATGTAAGAATGCATATATGGTTTTAATAAATGGTTCCTCAAAATAACTGATTAAATGAATTCCATAATGAGGTCTGTAGCATTGTAGTACTGCCTTTACAGAAGGGCAGCTAGAAGAAATAAGCTGTGCTAGAGCAAATAATGTTGACAAAAAAAATACTTCAAATTAAGAATCAATTTGGAGTAGTGCTTGTACGCTTGAATATTTTATATTCCATCTCCAAAGAATCAGTTTAAGGAACCTTAGTGATTTGTGGTAGCAGGCTCAAAATACTATTTGTTCTGTTAACAGTTTTGGTTTGTGTGCTTGTTGTGTTGGTTAGCTTGCTTTTTTAGGTAGAAGGAATTGCTGAGTTTAACTCTGTTCTCATTCAGTTGTCTTGTGTATTGACAGCTTATTCTAGTTGCAAAGAAACTCTAAAATTCCATACCAGAGAAGTGTTGAACTGAAATGATTCATTATCAGTTTAAAAGCAATAAGTGCATAGAGAATGAAAACAGGCTTATGTATTACACCAAGGGAGCCTGTGATTATATGAGCTATTTAGACTAATCTAATGCAGACATTCTTACATCAGTTTAACAGTATCATAATACTTCTGGGTAGTTCATTGCTTCCTGGCACCAGTCATGTTGAAGAGTTTGTTTTAAGGCATGGAACATAAGTTTCACTCTGCATAAGTATGAATGTGTATGAATAACCCTAAAATAAATTGTATGTGTTTTGTGAAATTTATATTTTTGCTGTGATTGCCCTGCGTAGTGGTGTGTAGTGTGTGTATTGCAGAGGGAAAAAAGCACTTCAGTGGCTCGTCTTAACCTCAGCTTAAGTCATGCAATTCCTTCCTCCCCCCATGATTTGTTTTATTATTTGACAATGTGCTACACTTCATTTTAGGGAGAGATGTAAACCCAAATACCTGAATAAGACGTCTGTACGTCCAGGCCTTAAGAACTGTGGTGATGTTAACTGCATTGGACGGATCCACACATACTTGGAATTAATAGGAGCGATTAACTTTGGCTGTGGTAAAGATATTTTTATTGGAATCAATTCAGAACTTAAATTCTAATCGGTTCTTGCTGAGCACATCTATTGTTGACTGTCAGCTTTTTTTATTAAAATGAATATTTTCATGTGAAGGGTAAACATTAAAGTTAGTAATGTGTCTTTAAAAGAAAAGTCGTAAGTTCGCTTCATTGAAGCATGGATGACGGCACTTAATCAGAATCAAGCATCCATGTGAATAATCTTCCAACTTCTCTGTGCTCTTAATGTCTTAAATAGTAATTGTTGTTACATTTAAGCTCTGTAGAAGAGAATTTTTGTTTGGATGGTATTTAGTATAGTCATGTTCCAACCTATATGGCTGTAGCCTATTTTGGTATTAATGCTGAAGGACTGCTTAATGTTAGGGTATATTGCTCACACAGAAGGATACACGTTAATCCTTACTAGGAAGGACCTTCTGAGCAGATTGTCTCTCATGATCTTTGAAAATCTAGAGGACTTTGTAATCTGCTTACAGGATTATGGATTTTTGGTTTTACACAAGATGTCTTCTTTTTTTTTTGATTCTTCTCCCCCCGCCACCCCGGCTCACATTTGCCGCACACCAGCTGGTGGGGTGTTTGTTCTGTGCTTTTCTGTGTGTCCAGTGTTGGATTTTTTTTTTTTCCCCTGATACTTGCTGTATCTGAAATTCTGGCCTCCCTCTGTGTAAGACAGAATTGAAGTTATTGTTTCTTTTCCCATACTGAATTATAACTATTTCCTAAATAAAAAATAATGTCTTCATCCTCAGGGCTGGTTTTTACAAGATTCAAATGTTAAAATTAGGTGGCATGTTAAAAGTATATGTACACCTATACGTTACTGTTGGTTTAGTCTCTCTGGATTGATTTTGGTCCAAAGCTGAATGACAGTCACCTAGGAGAGGAAGAATGGCCTGCAAATACATTTTGTCTGAAATAAATTAACAGTAAGGAAGGAGGTTTTCCTGTCTTAAAAATGCTGTGGTAGTGGGAGAGGGCTATATAATCAGTTAGTAATATGACGATCAAGAGATGTCTTTTCACTGTGGGTTTTGTTGTTGCTTTTTTCTTTATGGCATTTGTCATTTTCACTTATCTATGTCATTCTTGGCTCTGTACCAGAAATAAGTGGCTTCATACTTTACTGAAGTACAGTGTATCTCTCTTCTGCATCCTGTAGAACAGGCTGTCTATAACCGACCCCAACCAGCTGATAAAACACGGTCCAAAGAAGGCAAAGACACAGTGGAAGCGTACCAGCTTGCTCAGCGCTTGCAATCCATGGTATGTTTTAGTGAGGGCGGTGGGGGTAGCAAAAAACATTCAGCATGGAGAAGGTCTTTTCAATTTTCAGTTTCAAACTAGGGCATCTCAGGCAATTTCTTCGCTTGTTCAGTTTGCAGTTTCATTAGAATACCCTGTAATTTCTGTGTCAGTTGAAGTACAAGTTCTGCTATCTGACAGGTGTCTGTCCTAACTCCTGCTGTCTTACACATCTGATTTCTGTACAGGTACTTAACTACGACTGTGTTTCAGTCTTTTCCCTGCAGCCCTAACCCCTTCCTCCCCACCTCCCCATAATTTATTAGCCTGTATTAGCCAGAAAATAGTGGAGCGTGTTGGTAGTGTGTGATTAAGTTGCTTGTATTTTAACTGTTAAGTATACTAAGTATATGATATGACTTACTGAGAGCCTTATGCACACAATTAGTAGTAACTCATTTACAACTACATAAATTACCAAGGCTTGCCAGATTTAATTTACATATTCACGTTTAGCATAGCATTTTTAAGTACTTCATAGCAAAATAAATCAATTGATGAGAGGAAAACTAAATCAATCCCACTAAAAAACAATAAATGGAAATATAAAGAACTGTAGCATACACTAGATGTAAACATACTGGTTTTATAGCTTTTTGTATTGTCTGAGCTATAATTCAGAGCTGGATAATAATGTGCTGTTGCTGTCAGATGTTGATGATCCGTGGAGCATCAACCAGGTGTTAGGCTTCACAGCCTTAAAAACTGAAAACTTCACTTGTGATGTTTCATGACAGATTGTGAACTACTTAATTCTACAGAACTCCAGGGTGTTCATTCTTTTCTGGAAATATGTCATAGTGTTAGTAAGCTTCATGTGGCAGTAACCTTTTGGACAATGTTCTTATGGCTGATTAAATGAAGTAAATGCAGCTTTTTCAGGAGTATGATCCTTGACTCATGTTGATTTGCTTGCTGCAGCGTACAAGAAGACGGCGAGTGCGAGACCCTTGGGGAAACTGGTGTGATGCCAAGGATTTGGAAGGACAGACGTTTGAGGTAACCCTTCTGTGTGTTGAACTTTCCTTACAGAATTAATTCTTGCTAATTGCTAGCAGGTGGTGTTGCATTAAATATACGAGGGAAACAGTTGTGTAATAGGTACTTAACCTCTCTTTGTGGAAGCAATAATTTGAAAATAATGTAGCAGCTGTTACATCTTTATGCTGCTGATAAATACAGCTGTACTTCAGTGTTTACAAAGGTGTTCATGTTGTGAGCATGTGTGGCCCTACGCTGTTTTATGCCTATAAAGCTCTTTGCCTTGTCTTGTAGGAGATTTCACAACCCTTTGTTTTCAGTTAACCACCTTACTAAAGCTAACAGTAGGGGATAGGAGAATAAGATTTAAATTTTAGTTTTTCAGTCCTATATGGTTTCTTTGTGCTTATAATGCAGGTGATAAAAGTTCCTAATATTAATTCTGCTACTAGCAATAGCACCAGAACTGTGGTTTATCAAGTGCTTCGAAAAATTCATACAAGTTTAAATATTTTGTAGAAGACTTGGAAAGAAAATATCCAGTTGTCCATTTCTACAACTTCAAATTATACAAAAAGTGAAGAACTGTAAACATCTTATTTTTCTTGTACAGAAAACCACTTAAATTTGTAACCTTCAGTAACAAGTATCTGTAACAATTACTTCCATAATGTTATAATGCCATACCTGTTTTTGAGTAGCTGTGGTTAATAATTCTAACGCTTTCTGCAAAATACGTATTTGGATGGAAATAAAGTTTGAAAACACTCATCCCTAAAGAGGTGTCATGATAAATTCTGGCCATGGATTGTAATGGCAGCTTTTCTCCTTAGCTATCACACTTGCATTTATGTATGGTATGCGCTGTGGGCTGTGGTTTTACTGAATTTGATTGACTTGGGGAATGTAAGAATTCTCTCATCAGGCATCTTGTGGACTAGATCTCTGATTGTCATTACTTTCACACTGCTTGATTCTGCTAGGGCTATTGCCCTCTATCTTGAGTAGTCCTGTAACTCACAAATTGATAGCGCATCAAGCGGGCACTGGTGTCAAGAATTTATTCTGGGCTGGTTTTGGAATCACTACTGAAGGAGCACTTAAGACAGATTCTTTTTTTTTTATTTTATTTTTTTTTTAGCATCTGTCTGCTGAAGAATTAGCAAGAAGAAGAGAGGAAGAAAAACTGAAACCTGCAAAATCTTCTAAAGGTTCAAGACAAATAAAAAGGTATTATTTGAAGTACATCATGTTCAAACACAGATCTTCTAGAAATTAAGCAAATGTCTTGGGTAGTGTCAGGCTGGAATGCTGCAAATCATTAATATGTATTACGGTCTGAAATAACATGTATGCATTTCAAATGTTTCATATTGAAATTCATGAGTGTGGGTAGTGAAGTTCCTGTATTTGGTGGAAGTCATCCTAGTGTGGGATGAGAAAATCCAGTAAAGAAAACAAGGTTATCCCTCCTCTGCCAAGGAGACAGAGGGGAAACTTGAAAAGTTTCCTGAGTGTCCTACATCTTTAGAGAAATTTTCTTTCATTTTATAGTTCCTTTGATCCCTTTCAGCTGATACCGTGCTGTTTATTCACTGAAGAAAAACAGGTACGTACCTATGAGTGAACAATCAAGAATGCTTTATTACTTATGTTACTTTTCTTATACTCATTATTGCGTATCATTTCAGGAACCTTTTCAGGTGAAAGTGTCTTCCGAAGCACTTTTAATAATGGATTTGGTGAGGATTAAGTTTTATCTTTCAAAAAGCTACGACGTATATGTTGTGGTTTTTTTGGTTTGGGTTTTGTTTTTTTTTAATGGGCAACCTAAGAAAATTGAGAAATACAGTACTTACGTTAACTTCTTTCCATTCAGACCTAGAAGTGAGAATCTAGTATTAAATAAATAATGGATGTATTAAATAGTATTAATCTATTATAATTAATACTAGATTATTTAATTTAATTATACCATTTAATTAAATAATTAAATCTAGTATTAAATAAAAGATGGATGTGGGTTTTTTTATTGTGCTTAGTTTTTCTAGAAGGTAAATGGTTGTACACTAATAAGAGCGTTACTACTTACTACTCTCCATCATACGTTAAATATAATTTGTTTAAAGCTACTTTCTAAAATAGACTGCCCTTTTGAAATCTTACTCATTTTCTACTAGTCTGGGAATTGATTTTTGTGTTTATAAAGCAATGCATGTTTTTTTAATACCAACAGGTTGTACCAAAATTGGCGCAGTTGTTCAGCACTGCACTGCACAGGCTTCAGTTTTTGAAGCTAGTGTTGCTTCGTGTATGGAAGTGTTACACAAATGCACTGTATACATGCATGTATATAATAAGCAAACATAATCTTTTCTGTTTGCTTTAAATTGAAACACTGGGTGTTTGAGAATCTTCAGCTGTCCTAAGTTTTCCTTCTAAATGTCACTGAGAAGTTACTGACTTGTATGTATTCTGTTGTGTGCAGATCAAAAGTAGGAGAAATTACACAACTTGAACTTCAATAATTGTTTAATATCATTTTAGCACTCTCATGTGTCTATGGCAGAAGTAATAGGGCTGCTAGGTGGAAGATACTCTGAAGCTGATAAAATTGTAGAAGTAAGTGTCTTTTTACATTTTCTCTATAATATTAAAACTGTTATGATAATATATATAATTTGAATAGATGTAAATGTTATTTCTGAAGGGCAACTACTTAAATATATTACAGTTGAAGTTATTTACTGTAGTCTTGAAATGTTAGAGGGATGCTTATGTTCAAGCATTGGCCTGTCAACTCTGTCATGAGGAAGATCTGGTATATGACTCTTAAATAAAATTTAAAGAATTTTAACTGATGGAGATGTCCTGCATTTATCCATCTGGAGACTTTTTTAACAGGTTTGTGCAGCAGAGCCGTGCAATAGTCTCAGTACAGGACTGCAGTGCGAGATGGATCCAGTATCTCAAACGCAGGCCTCGGAAACGCTGGCTGCCAGAGGATACAGTGTTATTGGATGGTACCATTCCCACCCGGCCTTTGACCCCAACCCCTCAATACGAGATATTGATACTCAAGCTAAATACCAGGTACTTGCTGGTCTGTACATTAAAAATAAATGAATAGCAAAAAAAACGAACAACCCGAAAGCCTCCCTGGTATTTACAGTGTTAATACACATTCTTGCTCTAATGCGTCTTAAAATCTGTTCATTCATAAATTGACATAAATTCTATTTTTTCAATTTCAGAATGCTGTTGTGAAAAAGGTTGTATTTCTTGTATGTGGGGGTTTTTGTGTGTTTTTGGTTTTTTTTAGAGTTATTTCTCCAGGGGTGGCGCCATGTTCATTGGAATGATCATAAGTCCTTACAACCGGAATAATCCTCTTCCATATTCTCAGATCACTTGTCTAGTAATTAGCGATGAAATCAGTTCTGATGGTTCCTACCGTAAGTACCGATATTTTGTCCATGGTCTTGATTTTTCTTTTTCTTTTGGATACTAAGGGGAAAAATGTTGTCTATTCTTGAACTTGAGAAATAGGTATTTATATATTTACGTTGGCAACTTGTGCTGTACAAAACCAGGAATTTCACTTAAAGAGTAATCCTGCAAGTAGTGCATGCTGTCATGACAAGAATATACCGGTATAAATAGATAGAAGATTGTTTTTCTGTATTAGTATTTCCCACAATCCGTGAAAGAAATTAAAGGGTTGGGACAAGGGTCATTGTTATTTATCTACAGGATCCATAGGAATAGCTGAGAAACTGCTTCGCGTGTGTTACTTATACTTTGCTGCGTTACAAAATTCTGAACAGATCCTCTGATCAAGGAGACAGAAGTATAATAGCAAAGAATTGGCTGCTATAGCGGCCAAAAAATCCTTATTTGAGTAACTTAGCATTCAGAAGGTCAAAGGATCAAACTTGCCAGCTGTCCAGGAAAACACAAGATATGAAAGATGAAATGCTGTGCTGGCATGAATCCCAACCTAAGAGAACAAATTCTTGATTAAAAATGTCATTGGCATTTCATGAAAACGGGATGTTTTCTTTTCTTGAATAGTTAAGAATGTATCATGTAAAATTCATGGTATTTCCAGTGATGATCAGATCTTCTGCTTATTCCCTGACATTAATTTGAGGAAAATTCCCGTGATAACAGTACATGGTTATGGTAGCTGCCTCTTCTCTCTCCTCCTCCCTCCCCCTGTTTAAGTCCTGATTTTTGTATCCAGGCTCCAAGGTTTCCAGTTTTCTTGGCAAGGCAATAGCAGAAGCCATGTGAGCCGACAGTTCCCCCTCTGTTTTTTCCTGTGGAAGTGAGCAAGGGAGACCATCTGCCTGGAGACTTGCTTCATAGTCCTAGGGGAAGTGAAGTGGTGGCCACATCTGTGCAGTAATTCCTGTTTACCATACTGAGCGTACCATAATTTTATCCTCATTTCCCATGCATCCCACTCTTGTGGCGTGGAGTTAAAATACTTAGAAACTTTATCTGCCTGTAGAAGTAGACATTTTTTTGGTCACATACATCTTCTGTCTGAGAGGACTTCATATTTATGTTTATCTCCTGAAATCAACTTTTTACAAAATGGTATCTCCTCTAGCTCTTTGGAAAAGTTATACCGTGGCAGTAGCGCTATAGTACTGAGCAAGTGAACAAAAATTAGTATTTCACATGAGCCATAAATATTTCTATAGATTAATTCTTACTCTTGGAAATGCATTCTGCACTGAACACTTTTCACATTTGAGAGGTGTTCAAATAGCAGATTGTATTTATTGCTGTCTTTTCACTTACTCCGAGGTATAGTTGGAAAGCATGCGTTTCATCTCATTAAATTCTTATCTTGGAAAGGTGCTTTTTTTTCTTTTTTAACGACTTACTGAAATTTACGGTCTCTTTCTTTCTCCCTAATTTTTGGTAACTGAATTGTGCTCTGCAAGTAATTTTCTGGTGTTCCTTTAGAACACTTTCTAAATTCCTCTTCCCCCACCTGCAATAAACTAAAAGAATTTCTCCCTTTAGGAACAAAATTCCTCTGAAATCTAGAACAATAGCTAGCCGCTTCATCAGCCAGCTCCTACGTGAAAAACAAAACCTTTTTTATTCACTTAATAACCACATAGATCTTAGAGAGACTACAACAGTGTAAGTGGTACTAGGTTATAAAAACTCAATGTATTTTGCCGTTTTTCTGTTATGTTGTAGATTTCTCTGTGCTTCCTTATGGCATGAGGAATTGGTGAGGGCAGGGAGGAGAACAGGTTTGTTCCCTACTCCCACCAAAATTAAATTTGGAATCCAAAATATGTCATACTTTTACTTTAACCCTCTTAATGTTGGCAAGTAATGGGACTGCAAGCTTCTGCAGTCAGTAATAAATTATGAACAGTTATGGGGAAGGAAGGGATTGCACCTAAAACTAAAAAAGAAAAAAAAAAAAGTTGAGTGTACTAGAAACACTGAATAATCATGTTCAATTGATTCCAGGCCTGCCCTACAAATTTGAAGTACAGCAGATGTTGGAGGAACCTCAGTGGGAATTAATATTTGAAAAAACAAGATGGATAATTGAAAAATACAGATTCTGCCATAGGTGTATCTACTCTTCCCTTAAAAAAAAAAAACCAGCCAGTTTAGAATTTTTGCATGTTTATTATTGATGTTTCAATAAAGACGTGTCTGCTTTCTACAGACACCAAATAGCACCACTATTCGTTTTTCTTTCCACAGCAGTGTCCCCATGAATAAAATTTTTCATAGAGATTCTGACCTGACTTGTTTGCAGAAAGTAAGTTTTCTTCTTTTAATTCTTAGCTTTTTTTAATTTTAAATGTTTTTTTACATACAAATGTGTTCCGTATCAGCAGAAGTCACCTGAAGTTACATTTTTACAAATCAGAGATGTAAACTAATCACAATAAATGACTTCTATAGTGCAGCTTATTAACTTAGAAACACAATTAAAGTAACAGTGTTCATTTGAGAGAGCTGGGGACAACGGTTACATGCAGATACCAAGTTTTAACCTCAGTTTGGAGAAGAAAGAATGTCAAATTAATAATGTCTCTTCTCAGCATGTTGTATGCTTTCAGTGTCGAGAACTGCATGCGTTTTGAGAGAAGATTTGGACTTCCTAGTCCTTTGTTTGATTGGTAAAGTAGTGCTGTGCCATGTTTGGCATGCCTAAGTGGGAACTTTAATTTTCCAGTCAGTGTAGTCATTGCTATGAAGTTCTAAATAACTACAGCTGTAACATTAATTGCACAAACAAGACAGAAGATCTGCTGAAAGCGAAAGACATAAACAGAAAACATGTACACAATGATTACCCACGTCTTTTTTTTTTTTTTCTTCCCCTCTCAACATGACTTTGCTTATAAACAGCTTAAATCTAAAATGGAGTTGGTAGAATATTCTTGAACTTAGCTGTTGTGTAATTGGTTTTATAGAAATCACCCCTGTGTTCCTGTGTGACTGTTCCTTTCTAAAATTTATATTGTACAGTTGAACACTTCCTATAGTGTTAATCCTAAATAAATAAATACAAATCCCTTTGGAATACTTATCAGCTAGAAGGGGAAAAAAATAAACTCGGGGAAAATGGCAATTTAAAAAAAATCTCCTTTTCTTTTGACTAGCTTTTGGAGTGCCTGAGGAAGACTTTGGGCAAGGTAAAAAACTGCTTCATTGCTGAAGAGTTCTTGACTCAGATAGAAAACTTATTCCTTTCCACATACAAGAGTGAGAAAAAGAGTAATGCCGAAGAAAATGAGCATGAATGTGCAAATGAATTGCCAATGTGATGGCTTTAACAAAACTAAGTTACGGAATTTTGATTTTATTTTTTCATTTTCTTTCCCTCCTCCCCATTATGTCAACTCTTTCAGAATTCTTATCCATTTTAATAGTAACTGTTACAGAATCTAGTGTCATCTTACTGTTACGATTTAAACATACTTTGAAAAACTCCTAATGTGTTGTGACCTGACTACAGGAGGAACACTTAATGCTAACATTTTGTAAAAAATGAGCACCACAGAATTAATTGATTGACCAACAGTCTGTCGTTTGGGAAGAAGGACAACCTGGCAAGAATATTGTGCTTCAGTCTTCGAGAGTTTGTCCTCTCTCAAGTCTTTCAGTTTGGAAATTTTCTCATGTTTTTTATCTGCAGGTACACATCTAACTCGGAATGAATTTGTTCCTTAATGCTTTAGAGATTGTAAGTTTGAATAAATTCACAAAAGAGAAACTTGCAACTCAACTGAAATGAAAATTTTGTAGCTCACTGATTTCAAACTTTCCTGGTATCCAGTCTGAAGTTTTATTCAGTTGCGGTTTAATACATCGTCTGTTTTTTTTTTTAATTTTTTTTTTCTCCATTGACCCCTATGGTCAAGTAGCTTTTTGGCATGTTTGCCATCTTGCTTCTATATTTGGGGAGGAAAAGCTGGCAAGTTTTTATGACTTCTCAGTAGCAGTTGTGCTTGTTTCCAGTGGAAATGGTAACTCCTGTCTTATTACAGGCTGCAGTCTTTCTGATCTTCCATTCTACGGGGAGATACTATGTTGTTCTACCAGATCATTGTGATTTGTCCACTTCTAATTGCCACTGTTTCCTGTGGAAACAAGAGCTCTTGATTGATGGCATACTTAGTGCAACAAACAGAAAAGTATGTCTTTTTAAAGAAAAAAAAACCCACCAACTTTTATATTCAGTCTTCTCTATAACGTGTAGCTCAATAAGAAAACTAATTTTGTATCAGTTCTTCAGTTACAATTTCATGCAAGTATATATTCGGATAAATTAGTCATAAGCAGATTGATCTTGATTGAGAAGTTTCTTGATTGCAACTTGGAAGTGTTTCATGAGCTGTATCACTGTGAATCTTTATAGAAAAAATGTGCTTTAAATTTTGCTTTCTAAATCATGAGGAAACTTGACTTATATACAGTTATTACTATTTACACAGATTTATCTTGGGCAAAGTTTCTCTGAGTTTATATCTAGAGGGGTGACAATGGACTTGATTCTTATTTTAAAAAAAATATGTGTGTATATATCTAGTTCTACATAACATAAATGGAATTTAAGATTTTGTATGTTTACATTTTTAACTTCAGCTTTTCATTTGTATAAAGAGTTTGAAAAGCTTTAAAATTGTAGAGTTGCATCCCAAGGAGGGAACTCCTTTACGGGAAGTTAAAATTACTTTTTTTATCATGCCTCATAAAATGTTAGTCTTTTTCTGTTACTAAGTGGAAGGTGCAGAACCTGATCATATGAAAATGTGAGCCCTTGATACTCAGTGATTCTCCCAGTGCAGATTCAAGAGCTATGGACTTAAAAACATTGGTGAATGTTCCGTGCTCTCATCTATGTTCAGATCTGCGGGTGCGCAGCTTTGGATCCCGCTACTATGTATAATTTACAAACTTGGTGTATCCATCTGTATAAGGCATGTCAGCTCAGTCTGCATATATTCTAAAATGTCATCTTTGGGACTTCATCATTAAAAATATTGCATGGCTTTCTGTATTTCTAGTTTAAATTACACTCTTGGTGAGAAAGCATTCCTTCCCTACTTAGTTGTGGAGTGGTCTGCAGTGTAAGGTATTCTTCTGCAGTTTTGCATAGGTTACTCTAGAAAAATCACACCGCATAAATGGATGTACTAAAAGCTGTAATTAGTTCCCATTTGTAGGAAGAGGATTTTGAACCTCTTGTGTAACAGCAATATGAAGTCGATAATGTTCGTTGTCCACATACGGTCTATTTCCAACCATTTAAGGATGGATGTGAGTATTACCAAGTAGTGGTAACAATGTGCTGGCTGCATCTCTGTTTAATGATTAAAATGAGTTAAAGTAATACAGTTGTATTAATTGGATTTAACAGTGATGTTACATACGAAAAGTTTTGAGTGAAACATACTTTTGAAGCAGTTTGTCTCTTGAGAAGAGGACATGGTGCGGTATTGAGCCTTTGATATGCACACAAAGACTCCAGATGTTCTAAGAGTTCATTAGCAGGGTGGTATATAGGAGGAAATATAACTGCTAGTACCATCATAATCCAGTATTATCACACGATACTGCATGTGAATTGGAAATTTGCACATTTGTGATGCGAAGTGATAATTTTGTTGGCAGGAGCCATGGTAAGAAAATAACTAACCTACTTTTCATAATTTGTTTTGACTGTGGTTAATAATACGACTTTGGAAGTTGCATGCTTCTAAGAAGATAAAAATCTGTTTTACTAATACTACCAGTTCTGCTACCACACACATATAAGGCATTAAATATTTTTATTGGGAAGCTCTTTTTTTGTTTTTTTTTCATTTTGGTCCCGTCCCCCTGTGTCCACCCCCCCCAGCATTTCCTTATGCTAGCTTTTTTTTAGTGTTCCTTTTGTGGACTAACACGCTATTTCTTTATGTAAGACCAGCTGTTGTGCCTTGCCAAGTTGTTGCTGAGGAGATGGGAAATGGTTGAGTAGCAAGTAGAATGATACAATTTAAACTGGAAGAGTCAATGGTTTACAAACAAACCAACCCCAAAACCCCTAAGATGCAACTTTTGGCAACTATCCTTTATGGACATTTGTTGGCTGAGTCGTTTTGCTATCCCAGTTACCAGCAGTGCTTCTTCACAGGGATATGCGCCTTGTGTTCCAGGGGAGGGGAGGGGAAGGGAATGCCTGTATTTTTTTATTATTATTATTATTTTAAATAAGTAACTTTCCAAGAACAATTCAGTTGAGGAAAACAAACAAACAAAAACCAAAACCAGCCAAACAAAAAAAGTTAACACTGTTGCCATTGATAAGTACTTTTTTCCTTTTGCTTGCTGCTTTGCTATTCCTGACTGATGGTATGCCAGAGTCTACTAATAAAAACTGCGTGTGCAGTACCTTGAAAGATGTGTTCCACATTTGTAATAGCTTCTCGTCTCTTGAGCATCAGATCTGGTATTTACTCAAAGTCAGTAACAATAACCAAGTGATTCAACGAAGTTTAATACCACTAGAGGGAGCTTTGCAACAGCTGATACAAAAAAGGCTTTGAACAAAGCACAAAACTGTTCTTACTAGTGCATGTAAACTTCTGGCTAGTGATTAAATTTTATGGGCAGTAGCCGTGTATCTTGGTATAGATTTGTTTCTTTCATTTGTTCTTGCAAACCCTCTGCTTTAGTCTCCTTCAGAAAATTGTCCAATGGCACTTTGTGGCAGAGATGCCAGGATGGTAGATCAGTATTTTCCACACTGTTTTCACAGATAATCCTGGCTGGAGCATCACTAAAGTAGGTAATGTAATGGGTTTGTTTTCATGGGCAACTCCAGTGAATTCTGAAGGTGATCATCAAACTAGGTTTCAAGCAACTATATTCATTACCCAAATTTGATTCAAGTGTGTTGGTTCTTGCTCTATTTCTGCCAGCAGCAGGAGCCAGATAAACTCTTTCCTGCTGTGCTAGCAGAGAATTTGGTCTGCCGGGCATTACTGAGCTGTGAGGACATGGTGTTGTGTAGGGGAAAGAGATGCCATGGAGGTGGAAAGCAAGCAGCACGGAGGTGTACAGTGCACCTCGAAAGGCGTGGTGTGGCAGAGCAGCGCACCTCGGCATCTGCAAGGGGAAGGAAACATGCTGTGTTGTTGCTGTGAACCCCACTGAGGAGGCGAGGGACATCAGGATGCATGCAGGGTGACTTCATCCGGCCCCACAGAGCCGGCGCATGGGAAGTAGCTGGTTGTTAACATCCCAGTGAACATTGTAATCATATTTGGTACTGAACAAAGTATTTAATGGCCTAGATAAAAGCATTCTGGTTGTTTAATTGGAAATGTCTTGCTGTTTTACATAGACCTAGTGCCCTATTTTTATGAGATTTAGAATTGTGCTGAGAAACTGTTTCCATGGAAGCAGAGATCACTAAAGAAATACTGCACTCCACATTTCCTGCAGGATCATTCCTTTTACAGCCTGCTGTTCTAAATAATTAACTCTTGTAGTGCCATTACAGTTTAGCATGGATTAAAGGAAATATTTTTTTTTAGTGTCATAGAGACATTACATAGATAGATAAATAATTGGAAAGACTTTTGTCTTCAAAATAAGTCTGTTCTCTCCTTATTTACCAGAGGAGGAAATCCACCAGTACAAAAAAGTCAATGGAAAAGTGCACTTTTATTTTGACAATTTATGCAGCTCTGTCAGGGAAACTGAAAATTACTCCTTCTTTGCCCTTGTCTTGCCACTGTTCTATGCTTTTTGCTTGGTGATGGGTATATTCTAAAACCATCGTCGTGCTTCTGGCCACCTTTGAGGGAAGAGACAATGCAGTTTTTAATTAAGGTAACAACGAGAATCTTCACCAGTAGGGAAAACAGACCGTGTCGTTTTGTTACCTATGGTTTTCCTTCCATGTGTTACTTTTGACAAACAAGTTAATTTTTCTCCACTGTAAGTGTCCGTAAAAAGGGGAAACTGTCAAATGATAATATGAGGCTGAGACCAAACGTGAATGTCTGTAAACATCATAAAAGCAAAGTGCTATTTACCAAAGTCCTGTTACTGCCCATCCATGTGGTGCTTTCTAAGCACAAGGGCAGCACATCTCTCAGCCGTATAGAAATTGCCATCGCTTCACTGAAGCCGGTTGTGAGCTGTAAGTTCACAGCAGTTGAGGCTCTGTCCTCCAGAGAGAAGAAAAATCAAAACCTACCCTCTCTAAAGTTCGTGATGTGCAATAAAATAAAGACAAGATACGAGTATGTAGGTGAGAGTTAAATGGATTTTGACTTTGAAGGAGGGATGTGAAATTAAAAAAAAAAAAAAAGGCAGATTATTATAGGTAAATGACTTAGTAACTCCCCGTTTTTAATTTCTAAACTATTATCAAAGAATTGTCAATATGACAACTTGAAATACCTAGCAATTTTTATCATCATTTTAATTGTAGATCTCAATTATTTTCTAAGAAAGGTAACTACTGTTATTTTTATCTGAAGGAAGGGGAAATGGAGAGGTGTGATAATGTGCTATAAAGGAGCCAGGAATAATTTGAAGAACTTGTCTCATCTTTGCTCCCTTAAGTAGCATGTGTTTCTGTGGCTTATTTAGAAATAGGTCTAGCTGCAAAGTTCAACTCCAGACTGTGCCCTTCTCTAGTGGTAGAGGGTATTTACATCTGGAGCTCTAATTTTAAACCTATACTGTTTTATAAATGACTTGCTGGCAGCCAGGCTAACTTCCTACTGTTCACACAGATGCAAGCCGTCACTACAAGTAGCCCAGCTTGCACTGATTTGAAGCAGGGCAGGCCCTCAGGAAAACAGCAGCACAGGTAAAAGGAGCTGACCACAAGGCAGTGTGCAAGTTGTGTGGATGGGAGAATGGTGTATACACTGTTCTGTGGTTGTTACTGGTCCCAAAATAATGATTTATAAAGTGTCTGACAAATCAGATGAATGGGACTTGCTTAATGCAAACTGGAAAATATCTTTCAGCTACTGCCAAAACCCATGGAAAGGGTAACTCATGCTTTGTAGATCATTAGGACACTTGGGACCTACTGGAGTGTACTGCGAAAGGCATTACTCAAAGTTCAGATTGAAAAATTTCTTCAGAAACAGCTAACAACTTTGTAGGGGTAATGCAAGCATAAAAATCATCATTCCTAGTACTGCCTTGGGATGAGTATGTGCCAAAGGAAACGGGGGAGAGAAGCTTTCCATGCTGGAAGATGAGACTCTGCTCCTGTGCTCTGTAAGTAGGAGAGCAGCCATCAAACTGATGAACAGTTGTTCCTCCTGAACTGGCAGCTATTCCAGGCAGCATACATAAAACTCTAGAAGGCTTTGTTTTATAAATATACGCAAGTAGAAAGGAGGAAGTCCATAACTGATAACAATCTAGACAGTGGAATAATACAGATTCTGTGTGATGGAAGATGCAGGAAAAACCATGATGGAAGTGGAGGAATAGGATTTCTTCCAACAGAAATGGGAGAAATTCCTTAAACATGCATTTACATAGTCCATAAAAAGTCTAAAGAAGGAAAAGGGCAAGCTGCTTGTGCTTTAATCCATAAGGGAAGCCCAAGGTATGGCCTTCAGATTGGCTTTTGTCTCTTCCCTGTTGTTTCCTCATCAAGTAAGAGGGATCACAGGCATCTGGAGGCAGGCATTGGTGCCGCTCTCTGAGAAGTAACAGATGAAAGTGCAGCTTGTTGACTTCCCTAGGATTTGGGTATCAGATGGCAGTCATTTCAGATATTGCCTGCTATCACTTGGGACTTTATCCATGCTTTTCACCTGCAATATGGAGCCTCTGTCTGAGGTTTTGCTGGGTTTGATTCTGGCGGTAGCTTCATCAGCACAGAACAACGGTCGGTACCTGTGCAACCAACAAGTGGGTGGTATGTGCGCAGGACGGATCTGGGAACCGCACCTGCACGCTGGTATGTTCAAATCACAAGGTAGACTGTTCAACACTGACTTCAGAATGCTTGCTGATGAAGGCAGAAATGATCCCCCTGAAGGAGAAGCACTTCTGGGACCATCCCCATGGGCTGTTAGATAATGATGGCATTTACAATCCAGACTGTGAGAACAGTGGTATCTTCAAAGCCAGGCAGTGCAATCAAACCAGTACTTGCTGGTGTGTGGACACTGCTGGAGTAAGAAGAACCAAAAAGGGTGACAAAAGTCTTGAGTTGCAGTGAACTGTTTAGAACAAGCTGGATCTACATTGAACTGAAGCACAAAAAAAGGTCCAGTGCCTTTGATGTTCCCGATCTAGCAAATGCCCTGAAACATCTGTTTGAGAGCTGACACAAACTGCATCCCAGGTACATTGCAGCCGTTAAGTATGATTCCCCAGTTATCCAAATCCGCCTGAACCAGAATGACTCTGAGAAATCTAGGTGTGATGTAGATAAAGCTGATGTAGCCTATTACTTTGAAAAAGATGTAAAAGATGACTCCCTATTTCATTCTAACAGTACATTAACTATCTCTGTCAATAGAGATGCTCTGGATATTGAAAAAAAATAACAATTTACTATGTTGATGAAAAGCCACCAGAGTTTTGTATGAGACAACTGGTTGCTGGCGTTAGTGCTGCGGTGACAGTGGTGATACTGACTGCTGACTTTGGTGTCACTGTGCTGGTTATTCTGAGGTGGCTGCGGACGAGAAAATATGAGAAAGTTGAGATTAAGGAAATGGGTGAAATAAAAGCACCGAGCTTACAGCTGCCCTGATCTGAAAAAAGAAAGGCATCTGAAAAAAGAAAGGCAACAACAGGAGGGGGAAAAAAAAAAAAAGGCACAAAATACAAGTAGCAAACAGACTCAGTGTATGTGGATGGATTTGGAGAGCCTTTTTCCTTTCTACAGGAATTTGTACAGTGATGGTTCTAAATTATTCTAGTTGAGTAAGAATGACTTTTTTTGGTTTTGGGTATAAACAAATTTGAGAGTCAGTTACCTAAATATTTTAAATGAGTCCCAATTTAGACCCTAAGAAAACTGTTACAGCTGTCTATTTAGCATAATGTAGGATGCTTCCACTAGTACTGCAGGCCTGGTTCAGCTTGCTTAAATACTCTTTGAGTGGTTCTTGGTATAGCTGCTACTTGGAATTCAAATACTTGCCTTGGCATAATTGTGTTATATAGCTGCTTTTCTGTTGGTAAAGGCTTTTTTAAAAATGTGATCTGAAAAAAGAAAGGCATCTGAAAAAAGAAAGGCAACAACAGGAGGGGGAAAAAAAAAAAAGGCACAAAATACAAGTAGCAAACAGACTCAGTGTATGTGGATGGATTTGGAGAGCCTTTTTCCTTTCTACAGGAATTTGTACAGTGATGGTGCTAAATTATTCTAGTTGAGTAAGAATGACTTTTTTTGGTTTTGGGTATAAACAAATTTGAGAGTCAGTTACCTAAATATTTTAAATGAGTCCCAATTTAGAGGCTAAGAAAACTGTTACAGCTGTCTATAGAGCATAATGTAGCATGCTTACACTAGTACTGCAGGCCTGGTTCAGCTTGCTTAAATACTCTGAGTGGTTCTTGAGTAAGAATGACTTTTTTTGGTTTTGGGTATAAACAAATTTGAGAGTCAGTTACCTAAATATTTTAAATGAGTCCCAATTTAGAGGCTAAGAAAACTGTTACAGCTGTCTATTTAGCATAATGTAGGATGCTTCCACTAGTACTGCAGGCCTGGTTCAGCTTGCTTAAATACTCTTTGAGTGGTTCTTGGTATAGCTGCTACTTGGAATTCAAATACTTGCCTTGGCATAATTGTGTTATATAGCTGCTTTTCTGTTGGTAAAGGCTTTTTTAAAAATGTGGGTTGTTTTGTTTTGTTTTTTTTTTAAAGTTGCTGGAACTTTTTTTATAAACAAATAATTTAATAAATATTTCTAAATAACCAAATAAAGTTTTGGTAAGATACTCTATAGCACCAGAGGCTTTTATGCAGAGTTCTTTGTTAGGAAACATTCCTACGGTCGCTTCCAGGTGTGGAGATCCCAAGTTTCCGAGTTTGTATTCAGGCAGCACAGTGAGCTGTTCCCACTTCTGCTCTTTAGCAAGGGTCTGACACTCCTAGTCAGCAAAGATCCCTTGATCCCACTGCAAGTGTAAGTTAACCTTGGTGTTCTGCCCAAATTCAAGCTCTGGTAATAGCTGTCTGTCTACCTGAATTCCCCTTGCAATTTTAACAAGAGGAGATATTTTTCAGTGTCGTAAAGCTTCACAGAAATACTACACAATGCTTCAGGACAGCTGAAAAAGAGCTTTATTCTAGGAGAGCTGCAGGGGGAATTTAAGAGCAGAGTGTAATTACTGAAGTTGGAATTTGGCCAAGACACTAGAACTTGACTTCCTTGCTACCTACTCATCTGCTGCATTCCTTGTTTGGGAGGTCATATCCACCATGAAGGACATTTTAAAGAAACTAATGCTAGTTGTTAAATGTTGAAATATTGGCAGTTATATTCTCCATACTGTGTATGGATGTCTTGAAGTCCCATCAGTCTAATCTGCTTACGTTCAAAATGAGACCGCTACACATAGGCACTGCAGCAGGGTCAGCTCTTTTATTCTGTTAATTAGTTTCAATGTCACTAGTTTGTAATTCTAATAACAGTCAGTAATGCGCTACTTGTAGGGCAAACTATTAAATATGCACTCTGATTCTACTGAATGAATAGGATACCAGGAAAAAAGTGAAGATGCTTCAATTCTGTTTCTACCTTTGTTTCTAATAGAAGAGGAAGAGACTTGCTCTTTTGCGGGGAGTGGGACGGTGTTTGTTTAATATTTTTTGGCTCAACATACACCATCTCCATTTAACCTCATTCTTGTTCACTTACCTGCTGGAAAAATTTGGGCTTTGGATACATAGGATGGGGCAGATGCATCATGTTTCGCCAAAATTAGATTTTTATGCAATTGCATCAGCACTATTCAGACACTCAAAAACTTTTGGAGCAGTGTCTGTAATTTATTGCGTGCCTTACGGCAACACGTCCAAGCTGGTTGTTTTTCAGTCAAGTATATACATTATTACTGATAAAAGATGAAGTGAGAATTTAATATCTAGACTGAATTCTCCCAAGTCATAGGAAAATTCAGAACTTAGGCTAAGTCCACACAATTTTGCAATTAGGCTTTTATAAAATGGATTAAATTAAAAATCTAGAGCTGAGTAGCCCTTAGTGCTGAAGAAGGAAAATTTTCATTCTGATCCTACACAAGTACATTGCTTAACCACTTTCTTAACTTACGCAGAGCTGATAAAAGCTATGTGTTTGAGAGGTTGGTGCTGTCCTTCCATCAGAGAAGATCATGAGATGTGCCATCTTTTCTGGGGATCTACTGTGGCTTTCAGCATTCTTTTAAAATCACTGCATTTTTCTCATTTCATGTCCTAAGAAAAAAATTATTTTAAAGGTGAATGATGAGATTTTATATTAAAATAGAATATAAACATGTAGGCATAATTTTGATTAGGAGAGGCAAAAGTGACTAATTGTTGAAAAAATCTTAACAGGTAAGAGTCTCGGCATCTTTCTTTGGCTCCTGCTTTTCTTTTTAGAAGTTGAGATTGAGAAGAGGCTGTTGTGGTGCCATTCATATTTTTATTAATCATTAAAGGACTGCCCCATGAAAATCATGTGTTGTGGTCAGTTATTTCCTTGCTAGTCATCAAGCACCAGCAGACTGCATGCTGCTAGGGGACTGGAAATGCACTAGGGTCATTTAATAGGAATGATAAGGTATGTGTCTGCAATTAATCAAAACAATGGGAAGATTAATTGCAGTGCAGAGCTCAGAGAACCTCTCTTTGGATTAGATCATTCTACTTGAATAAAGCTATGTAAAGCTACTGTCGGATCTGGACTTTAATAAACCAAACATACCCATTGTTCCCGCTAAGTACTCATTTCTCTCCTGCTGTTCCAGTCATACCACCTCTTGGGCTATATATTAATATCTTTTTTGCACATGGTAAATCAAGTATTTTACTGTAACAGTCCATGATGTTCAGCTTGTTTCACTTTCTGTCCACTGCTGATGTTCTCACTGAAAAGGAGAAAATGAACTTGTCAGCTTTAAATTTTGCAAAATTAAAATGCTTTTTATTATTCATTCTAAATTAGAAATTTCTAGTTATCCTTTTCCTGATTACATCATCCTGTTTTAATGGCGTGTTTGTTCGTTGTATTTAAGTAAGTAGGATTTATACTCTTTGCAGTGGGTTCTGTGGGTACAGCCAGCACAGTGATAGTGATGGTGGTTTTATGTTCTAGGCGGCACTGGCTGACAGCTTTTAAGTAGTGCCCTGAACAACATGATTAACATCAATCTTGTATCAGTTTCTGTGGGGTCTGCTCAGGCATAAATGTATTCAGGGGATTGATTTGTTTTGGAACACTGTTTTAATACTCTGTATGTATAAATATGCATCTGTCTGTAGGTAGATACAGAAATAAACCCATAGCTGATATGAAAGAGTGCCTTTGTGCTATTACCTGCCTGTATTATACAACAGCGGGTATGCTTGCTTTAACGATGGTAGAGCTGTCTGTTGCCTAAATTATGTTCTGCCATTCCAACTGCTGAAGGGCTGCCTTAGAAAGCTCAAAATAACCACTGGCAGAGAAAAAAATCCTGTCTCTGTGCTACGACTCTGAAGAGGATAGAGCTGCCCTTTCCGTACAGCGCTACCACCTTTGTGCACCTGCAGAAAGTGGTTTTGGGCTTTTGCTTTTAACTTTTAGTTAAAACTTTTTTAACCACTCAAGATCTGAGGAAAGTGCCAGAAGCAATGCCAGCACTACAGCAAGGAAATAAAAGATAAGGATTCATGGAAGGATTAAAACCCTCTTAAACTCTGCTCCCTCTATTCCCTCTGGTAAAATCCATGCCTGTTTATATATGCAAGTATGTATTCTTCAACTTACTGACACAAAATCCCTGCATTAGTTTGCAAATGACTGGTGTGTGTATACACACGTTGGTTCCCACACCTATACTTAAAGACACACACATCAGTATTTATGTTAGAGCAGGCAAGCCCTAGGGAAAGCTTTGTGGCAGCAGATCCTACGCTCCATTCGGCCAGCCTGCAGCTTGCTCTAGCTCTTATCAGTGGTAAAATATCCCAAACCTGCTGCTGTTTTGGAACAACAATGAATCCTCTTCTTGTCCCATCTTCCCCCGATTAAGAATAATCTCTTTATGGATGTTTAGCCTGGGATTATGGCCAGATTAGGTTAACAATGTGAAACAAAACGCCTGCCGCATAAATACACCCAACCCCTCTCTTGTTTAGTTGGTAAAACACCAGCATGTCTGTGATGTTAAGCACTTAATGACAACTAGAAACAAGATCCCCCCAATAGTCCTTAAAATGTTTAAACCTCTGGGAATCACTTTAGAAAAAACAAACCAATTTCTATTGCTTGCATATCAAAACCACTTTTTCAGAGAATAGTTAAAGAAGTAACAAATTGGCCCTTCTCCGCTTCCCCTTAATTGGACCAGTTAATGCTATTAAACAGATAGTCTTCCTTGTGCAGGTATAATTATCATTTCCAAAGCATTTCTACTGATTTGCCTCAGGGTTTTAAGTACTGCAATTATCTCTTTTTATAACGCTAATATTAATCTTAAGTCATTACGATTGCTATCAGAGCAGAAAAAATCAACTTCCAGAACTTTTACAATTATTATTCAGCAGTTCTAACAAAATTCCTTGTACCAGGATTTATCTAGTTAAAATTTCATACACGCCAGGCAGCCTGACAAGATTCACATCTCATTTTCATGATGATCCCTGCTCCCTGAGGTATAACACTCTCACAGTCCCACTCCTGCACAAATCAAGCGCCACAGAAACAATTAGGGAGACTTTGTATTATCTAAATGAAAGACTGAATGAGAATGCATTTCTAATTTTCCACTGAGATTTTTACATGTGGGCCCAACAGTACTGGTGACATATGCACCCAACCTTTTTCAGCTTTTTTTTTTTTAAATAAACATCTGTCCTTGTAACGCTTCAAATGAGAAATCTCAGCATTTTTTCTAGTCTGGTTGGACCCAGAAAAGCTAAGTGGAACAACTAGAAAGTATTTGGATGTGGCTATGCTGTAGCCATAGCACTGTGCAGTGCAGACACACTCATTTTTAGCACAGGTCTGTTGAGTTCTCCTTTTTTCTTCCTATCTTCTCGTGCTCTTTTCTGTTGTTGGAAATAAGATAGCTTTATAATTATCTCAATTCTGCTGAAGGACTTCAGCAAAATCTCTCAAGCATAGGAAGTTAATTAATGCTCCCTTTTTTCAGTCTCTCCAAATAAATTTTTCATTTTAGAGAGCTAGTAGAAGAATTTTGTGATATTTACTATTTTCACTGATGTTTTTATGCGGGTCAGCTGCTTTAAAAGCAGTTTGCAATTATGTGCAAGAATTAGAAGCTAGAAGAATAAAAGTTATTAAGTGATAGATTCTCAGAATTTCTGCCAGTTTTGCAACTACTAAGCATCCAAGTTGCCCTCTAGAGTGCAATGGTTGTCAGAGCTGGCAAGCTGAAAGCAATACGTAATGCTGGAGTTCATTTTCATTACTTCATCTTAAGGCCCTCAAAATCAAAAGTTCCTAAAATGTATTTAATCTGAATGTTTGTACATTTGGTTCCTTAACTCCCAGTATCTTGTCTATATTTCTCTTACCCCAGACAAGAAACAAAATAGCTAACACACTTAATTCTGGTTTGACTAGCATCCTGGGTCAGCAAGATATACAACACTAGTGCAAGTCAACTAAGACTGGCAGCACTAAGTGATTCCCAGGAATGCCAGTGCTGAATAAATGGCACTAACAAACTGGACATCTGGGATATCAAAATCAATTCCTTAGTAGGAAGGGATCCAATAGACTTTTGTGGCTTTTACTGAGAGTCTTTCATTAAAATACTGTAAAATAGCAAGCAAAGAAAAGAGCACTCCTTACTTACAACCTCTTCAACCGTGTTTTGGAAAGAAAGGACTGTATTGAATTTTATAACAACTTTTAGCGGAACAGTTTTGCAGTAAACTTCTGTTTGGTTGAGTAACTTCATCTTCTGCATTTTGAATCTACTTTTTTTTTTTACATCAACAACATAGTTAATAAGCAGAAATAATTATTACCTATTAACAAATTCTTAAATAGCATCTACTAGCTGGTATGTCAGTGGGGCAAGGGAGGGCAAGGGACAGTTAGTACACAATACAATACACTCACAGTGGATCAAGACAGGATATTCCAGTGAACAACATTTGGAAAAATCTTGGTATTTATGAAATGTGTTGCCTAGTCTTTTAAGTGCATGTGAACTCTTGGGATTTCAACTGGCCAAACGGGCTAAGTGGCATTAAATCCAATTTCTGACTTACAGAAGGCTGATGGAGTGCATTGTTTCTGCCAAGATTTTAGCCCAACGCTAATAAGCAGAAGTGAATTACACTGAAACTTGAATGACAAAACCATCAATTAATACTTAGTTTTTGCTTGGATTTATATAAAAGCCAAATATTTTATTATTTTATAGTAAGTTTTTCGTTTGAAGCTGAAGACTGTACATTTTAACTGACAACTTTTTAATTGTGATGATCAAAATTGGTAGCAGGAAGACTTTACTACCAAATTGTTTCCACCTGAATATACAGAAAAATATTTTCTTTTATATTTACAGTTAAACTGTTCTTCATTACTTTTATTGGATTTGACATTTGCTTGTGAGAATAATTTCATACATATACAAAATCTCACTCAGTTCAGTGCAACTACTTATATAGAGACATACAGATACTAATGGACACAACTACACAGGAAAGTTGTACCTGTTAAAGTGTTAATTCGTTAACTGTGCTAAGGACTACTGCATAGTGTATTTGTACAGTGTATGTGGAGAGCAAAAGCTTTGATAAGCTCGCGTTAAGTGGTTTCCTCCACAGCAACTTGAAGCAAAGATTTGGGACAGGTAATGCATAGGTTATATCCATATATAGTCATTAAAATTCAAGAGGAGCCATGGTATAAATGACTAGTTAGAATGGTTTTTTAACTAAATGTCTATTTAGAGAAAAACACCACTTTGTAACTATCCAATTGCTCAACTGTTTACCACATTTTCATATAGACAGACATTTAGTGTTGGTATTTGATAGAGAGATCCTACAATTACCTGCACTGTATTTGCTGCTTGTCTGCTTAGAAGTTTTAATTCTAAGTGATGCCACTTGGGGAGACTTTAGAAGTGCAGAATGTAGAATACAATTTTTAGCCCCGTCCTTGCACACTCAAAACAGCCATTGAGTTTCACAGGAATTTAGGCAAGTCAGGAATGCAGAAATAGCTCCTCTATGCAGACAGTTAAATAATGCAATTGGAGAAACAAATAATAGCAAAAATATGCAAAGAAAAAAAAAATTTCAGCTAACTTGAAATAAAGTGGAGCCTCTGTGAGGTGGAAGAATGAAATTTGCTCCACGGAAGAAATGGTAGAAAGCCTTCATGCTTAGCTTAGGAATGGAGAATTCCAGATAAAGAAAACAAGAAAAGGAGGCAAATACAGTCTAAGAAATAAAGACATTAAGCATCAGGAGACATTCACAAGAGCGTTCATCTCAGTTCATTTCTTGACAGCTGGGACACACACAGGCCTTAGGTTAGACAAAGTGCTTTTCTGCTGCTACAGCCCAGCTGTTTCTGTGACTGGAGCTGACAGCCACAAAAATTAATGCCGTGCTAATTGACTGAGAGATTTTACTCTTTATGCCTCTTATAATAATGGAGGCTGGGCAGGTCTTAAAGGAATTGTGCCTCCTGAAAATAGACTACCTATCACTACAAAAGGTTTCTTCTTGGCCTGGACTCCAAGATCTGGTGACTATGTATTTTCCTTGGCAGCTGACATCAATGCTTAAGAACTGTCACAGGAGAGGGCCTCAGTAATAAAAAGGGATGGACTAATGAGTATCTCCACAAACACTGAACAATACTTGAATGTGCTCATACACAGATTATGTGACTGCTGAAAGCAAAGATCTGTGTTTCTTTACTTTTTGAAATGAAAGGGCCTCTGTTTACATGCAAAGCCCAGGGGCTTGTATGAAGCCTGGGCTGTCCTGTCATTACCACATGTCCCAGCCTCATGCTTTCATTCAGCAAATAACCTGTTTTTCACATCACATCATTTAAGATGTACTTCTGTCAGCTAGATGAGTAGGCCAAAAGTTACGTATTAGGTTAGCAGCTTTCCATTTTCTTGGATTTGGGAAAAGCCAAACATCATCTCCCCACCTACCACTGTCACAGCAGGCTGGTCCCTTCCACAGGAGTGTCACCAGCCCTCTCTGGTAGTGCAAAGCACTTCGACGCTTCAGGTCTCCAAAAACAGCAGCAAGCCCAAGTCATAACACCCATGAGCTCTGAAAGCTCTAGAGGCCTAAAGGTCTGGCTCGGAACCTCTTAACGGCCAGGCCCAGGGACACAGGAATCAGGGCCAACGCCAGCCATGAGGTGAGGCAGGGCAGCACACAGACCTCACAGCAACACCGTGGGTAAAGCCAGGGTAAAGACCACACAGGAGAAGGGACGGCAGCAGCGTGGCTCTGCGCCTCCTGAAGGAATACCCTCGCTCCCCTCCCTCCACAGCCGCGCCGCAGACGCCCCGGC